GTCAAATCTGGGTCGATCCCAAGCATACGCCATTCCAAAGAATCTTATTCCGGAATAAAGACGGAGAAGTAGGCGATTTCGAATTAAAAACCGTTACCTTTGGTGTCAACTGTGCACCATTTCTGGCACTCCGCGTACTCCAACAATTGGCAGACGACGTAGAAAAGGACTTCCCTAAAGCAAGCAATATTATTCGTCATTTTATGTACGTAGACGACGTTCTGGCAGGGACCACTTCCATACATGAGGCTCGACTTGCAGTCAGCGAGCTTCGCCATGCTTTCAGCCGCGCCAGTTTCCCATTGAGAAAGTGGACAGCCAACCAGAAGCGCATACTCGAAGATATCCCAAACGAGCATCTACTCCACGAAGACTTTCGAGATCTTCACTCCGAAAGCTTTGCCAAAACACTGGGTGTTCGGTGGAATGCGACCTCGGACGAGTTTTATTTTGTTCCACCGCCAGTTGCGATTCAATCCACTCATACGAAGAGAGAGGTTCTTTCCCAAATTGCGAAGCTTTTTGACCCAGCCGGATGGCTGTCCCCGTTTATTGTCCGCTCAAAAATCTTTATGCAAGAAATTTGGCTGCAGGAGTTGGGCTGGGATGAAAATATCCCAGCAGAAATGAATAAGAGATGGCAAGATTTCTTACGCAGCTATTCCGAGCTTGAGCAGATCCGTATCCCAAGGTGGGTTGGTTTCCAGCCAGAGGCCAAGGTAGAGCATCATGGGTTTTGTGATGCGTCGCAGAAGGCATACGGGGCCGCTATATACTTGCGGGTGGAAGTTGGCCACAACATTATGACCCGTCTGCTTACCGCCAAAACCCGAGTCGCCCCTGTAAAAACGGTGTCCCTTCCACGGCTCGGGCTGTGTGGGGCAGTGCTGTTGTCCGAAATGATTGCAGCTATCCTTCCGAATATGCCAATTTCCAATTCCGACATTTTCTGTTGGACTGATTCCACCATCGTCCTTGCATGGTTGAATAAGCCGGCATGCCACTGGACCACGTTTGTAGCCAACCGAGTGACCAAGATTACAAAGGTGACGAGCGCTGAGCATTGGGCGCATGTGCGATCTGACCACAATTCCGCGGACCTGGCCAGTCGAGGCGTTTCGTTACAAGTGGCCAACACGGTGGCTTGAAATTCCAGTCACAGGCTTAGAGCAGCGTGCTGTTAAGGTCAATTTCGCACAGACCCCATCCGAAGATTTGCTGGAACGATTCTCCTCGTTGGATAAGGCTCTGCGGGTCCTTACGTACGTATTACGTTTCATTCAACGCTGCCGCAAGATGCCGAGGGACTCTGCTGACCGACCTACCAAGGAAGAGGTCCGCACCAGATTTCCCTGCATGGTGGCAATCAATTAGTGATACGCCTCATCCGATCGAAGTATTGGATTCCTAAACTCAAGAATCTAGTAAAAGCTGTGCTGAGCTCCTGCAAGGTGTGCACAATTTACAAGAAGAGAGTACAGACGCAATTAATGGGCGACCTCCCGACCGATCGAGTGTCCTTTTCCAGGCCATTTACATATACGGGCATGGATTATGCAGGCCCGTTCGAGATAAAGAACTATACTGGGAGAGCATGCCTTATTACCAAGGGATATGTGTTTGTGTGTTTTTCCACTAAGGCTATTCACTTAGAGCCTACGTCCGATCTGACAACGGAGAAGTTCCTCGCGGCATTTGCCCGTTTCGTAGCGAGAAGAGGTTGTCCCCAGCGGGTCCATTCGGATAATGGCAAAACCTTTGTGGGGGCCGCGACTCTACTTTCTCGGGATTTCATGCAGACGATCAAAGAGTCGGTAATTGAAACGTATAGCCACCAGGGACTCTTGTGGCGGTTCATTCCACCAGGAGCTCCACATATGGGAGGATTGTGGGAGGCTGGAGTAAAAAGCTTCAAGGCACTCTTCTACAAGTCAACGTCAAGTCGGAAGTACACGTTTGAAGAGTTCGCCACCCTTCTCGCCAAAGTTGAAGCATGCCTCAATTCCAGGCCGTTGTCTCCCATGTCCGAAGATCCTTCTGAGTTATTGGCATTGACGCAAGGCCACTTTCTGATTGGGGGGCCGTTGCTTTCCACAGCTGAGCCCGAAATTAAGGGCGAAGCGCAGTCGATTATAAATCGCTGGCAAGAAAGAGAATGGAAAGAGGAGTACTTGAAAGAACTTCACAAGCGCAATAAGTGGCAGAATCCTTCCCGAGACATCCAAGTCGATGATATGGTGGTCGTCAAAGAAGACAATATGCCGTCAAATGAATGGCGGCTCAGGAGAGTGGTATCTGTTCTTCCAGGAGCCGATGGTAGAGTTCGCGTAGTAGAGGTCCTTACTGCTCGAGGGACAATAACACGTCCTATCCACAAACTAGTTCTTCTGCCTATGGAGGACAAGGCAATCTCCGCACTTCCGCAATAATAACTTCTGTCCTCATTCTAGTACTTCTTCCTATGGAGGCCAAGGCCACCTCCGCTTTCCAAAAATAGTGCCTTCTGTCCTTATTTTTCAAAATTCGTTCACAAATTGATACTAAATTTGCTTACCATTTTTATTAAAGCATCAAAACCATGGCTCCACGTCCTCGCAGCGCCCAAACTTTGGACGACAGACGTTCACGAGGTACTCGATCCTACCGTTGCCGAGTCTGTCGGGGAATCCATCCTCTACGGAAGTGCACCCGCTTCCTTAGGCTCAGCACGGAGAAGCGGCTCCGCGCCGTCCTCATTAATAAATATTGTGCAAATTGCCTGGCTCATCAACACTCCGGGGGCAATGTCGCAGTGGCGACACGTGCAAAAAGTGCGGGCAGAACCATCACACGCTGCTCCACCTGCACGAGATGTCCGGGACTACTCGTCAACCGCCCATCCAGCAGCGTCGTCAATCGTCATCCCCGCCACGTCGCCAATCGCCGTCCTCGCAACATCGCGGATCGACCACTCGGCTGTCAAGGGCAGTCTCGCGGTCTCCATCGCCAGCGGCACGGGAAGCACGGACACCGGTCCGACGTCCAGCGTCAGCAGCAACTCCATCAGTGGCGGCTCTCCTGCAGCATCAGAGCCTCCACATTCTTCCGACGGCCATCGTGTTGCTGGAGTCTGGGGCCACCACCTTCGAGACGGCCGCGTTAATCGACCCTTGCACACCCGTCAGCACTATCGACAGCTCCCTGGCAACTGCGTTCAAGTTGCCCACGACGACAGTGAGAGGCGAAGAAGTCTGCTCGACGACAATCCGGTCGAGGACGGGCGATTTCCAGATCGACGTGCTGCTGAAGATCAGTCAGAGTCTACGCATCCGCACCCCGATCCGCGCGCTAAGCGATTCTATGCGAGCCCAATTTGATGACATCCGTCTGGCCGATGAGCAATTCCATCGCCCAGCAACAGTCTCGCTGGTGTTGGGCTCGGACGTCTACCCCGACGTAATCAGGCCCGGGTTCCTAAATATACGTGATGGGCTGCCCGTCGCACAGGGCACGGTCTTTGGATGGGTCGTGTCTGGAGCATGCAGACACGCCTAAGGATTAATCCTTTGCTACGTTCGCCCTCGCAAGAGGGAGAATGTTCGCGCCAAAGTGGCACCCCCAGCCCCGGCCAATTTTCCCTTCAAGCGCCCCTGGAGCCTTGACAGTCGAGACAGCAGTTCTTCCAGATCGCTCGCATCTCGCTCTCTCGCACTGTTAAGTGTCTCCACTCCGCTCTCCAAGCGGCTCTTGACCTTCCACTCTGTAGTTATACCCGTTACTGTCTGTCTGTCTGTCTGTCTGTCTGTATGAACGCTGAGATCTCGGAAACTATAAAAGCTAGAAGATTGGCATTTTGCATGAATATTCTAGGAGCTCCTACGCAGTGCAAGTTTGTTTCAAAAAGGTGCCACGCCCCCTCTAACGCCCACAAGCCCCCTTTAACGCCCACAGTTTTGAAGCTATTATGAAAATAGTAACTGATATGTATTCGCTTCGTCAATACCTATCGATTGGCCAAGTAAAAAATTGCCACGCCCACTCTAACGCCCTCAAACCCAATAAACGCTTAAACCTGGCCAGCGCCTACATTTCCGCCTTTTATGACCAGTAGTACCAATATCTGGCGGTAGATGGCGCAATACAATATACACTAGCGCCATCTAAGAAATGGCATTGGAAAAAATCTGCGTTTTTTTCTGTGGGTACTGTAATTCACATTATGTTAATGCAAATTTTAAATTATTTGAAATGGGGCGCGCATTTTGTCTCTTTTTGCTCGTATACGTTTTTCACAAGTGCATTTACCTGCGCTAGAGAGAGACGGAAGATGTGCTAGGCAGAATTGAAAGTTCTAGAAAACCTCTTCTAGAAAGAGATCCCTGGGTAAAAATCGAGCGGCGAAAAACATATAAGAAGGCATATTTCTATTAAGTTGTTTAGCTGAGTAACGGGTATCTAATAGTCGAGGCACTCGACTATAGCGTTCTCTTTTGTTTTAAGTTAGTTCTAATTTTCAAGTGTAACCGAAAAGTCGACCAGTGAAGTTTTTTTTTGAAATAAACCGTGGAATTTTTATAACGTTAAACCACCCATTGCGGCCGTCTATTCCCTGCCCTACGATCACCCAAGCCGAAGTTGGAAGACCCGCCCCACTCCATTTCACAGGTAATTTGTATTTTGTTTTTTTTTTTTTGTATAAAAATTTTTTTTATTAAATTACAAATTAAAAGAAACTATTTTAAATTTGTAAATAGTTAGGGTTTTAAATTTTATTATTTGCAATTCCAAAAAGTTATTTTCGATTATTTTTATTGTAAAAATCATCACCAAAAATTTGTTTACTTTTCGTATTTTTAAAAACGAAAAAACGAAGTTTTAACTTTGTCATAACATTGTGATGTTTCGGTAGAACTTAGGACCATAATTCTTTCACTCCCTAATGCCCACCCATCGTGATCAAATAAAAAATCGATATTCAGTATCATATAAGCTCAAAGCATTTCAAAATTAAAAACGCGGTGTTTTTGAATTTAAAAATTTTTCTTAAATGTTTTAACGCATTTAATAAATCTGACAAATCTGAGGGTAAAATAGTTTGTCTCTAAACCTAAGGACAATTTTTGTGGCTATTGTTAGTTTAGTGGCGGTTTTATCGACTAAACAAAACAACAACAACAATTCGTAATTTTATGTATGTCTCGTTGTAAAGGGTTTAGTTTTTAGGGTTTAGGGTTTAATGTAACAGTTTCGAGAACAACAGCTGCCAATCGAGATAAAACATTTTAAACGATATTATACACATTTTAAAAAATGATGTCTACAAAAATGTACAATACGATATTATGATAATACAATACTTATAGACAAATTCTTTAGACTCCATCCTAGATTAGCCTCGTGCGCTTCAAATAGGTAATTAACAGATTGTAAATAAATTTGTATTGTGCGAGAGATGGTATAATGCTGTCCCGTTGATGCCTTAGCTGGCCAATCACACGAGGTATATCTAGATCCTGTAAAGTTCAGTTAAATAACGTTTAAATAATGTTAAGTTAAATATTTTTATCCGCGCACCTCGTTATGATCCAGAGTGTATAGCAAAAGATCTGCAGTCAGGGTCACTCCAGAACGACCACCTCCCTCCAGGCAATGTAATAGAACCGGTGGGTTTGTGTTGTGCCCCGGCGGAACTTCTTGCGTGGATGCCAGTCTTACAGAGTTCAGCTCTTCGAGAAAATCGAGAAAGTGGTTAACGTCACGCGGACAGTTTTGCTCCGCCCAGTCCGCATACTGCAAATACCAGACGGAACGGTACCGACGCGACGGTATGTGGTAAAGACGCAACTTGATAGTGGTGCAACGATCAGTGGTTTGTGAGAATTCCTGATATACTTGAAACTGGAAATAAGAAATAAGAGAATTAAAAAATGTTCTCAAATCATTAGGAAATTAATAATTCTCAAATACTTTGAACTGTTTCAAGTTTTGAAGTGTGAACTCGCCCATCGTCGAAAATTGTATTACAACCAGGGGTGTCACAGAAAACCATTCCAACCGAATTTCCCCCGAATAGCAAATCACGGTGTCATAGACGTCATTTTTGACGGTTTCTAAATCCCCCGTAAACAATAAACAATTTTTAATATTTTTAAAAGTTCCTAGTTCCAGACATGCTCATACTTTTGAGGAACATGTATAATAAATTTAAAGACGATTGCTCAATTTTTGCGACTTGTACGACTTCCGCCAACTCGGAAAACATGGTTTCGAGAAAAACGCGTTTGAAAATTTGCCCACGCTGACACTGGTCCACCAAACGGCCGATAACTTTCGTAGATTTCGGCTTGAAATTTTAGGAGAGAAAAATTGAAACATGTATCTTTCCGTAACTGAAAAAAAAAAAAAAATGATTTTTTTGACCTCACAAGGTGCAAGCCTGCCTTAAGTTTTTTGACTATGTTTTCTAGAATTTATTTCTCCCTTAAAAAAAAACCTAAATTTATTCCTAGTATGGGGTTTAAAAGATAATGAGTGTTTTTTTTTAAAAACTTAACTAAACTTGCCTGTGATACATCCGTAAAATTGGCCAATGCTAAAGGTCAATTTATTTACTATCTTTGAGCTTTCGTTGGAATTTAAAAAAATATACACGTTATAATAAATTATTTATTCTTTTCTAAAACGTTTTTGGAAAATTGTTCTTGATTTTTGGAAAGTTCCAGCATCCAATCCAATCGATAACAGTGTTGTTAGTTTTTTAAAAACACCAATTTTATTTTATTTTTTTTAAATGTTTGGACTGAAAATTATTTTGATTTTAACGAAAAAAAATTATTTTCAGAAATTGATTACAAAAATATTTTTGTTTTATTGCGTGTAAAAAAAACAAAACAAAAAAACGATTTAAAATTGTTTTTGTTGGAATAAAATGGATTTGTTCATAAGTTTTGACTTTGCCGGTTTGTAAGTACGCCTCTGCCACGACCACTCTCTGCCTCAAATACTCAAATTAAAGGTAGGTTAAAGAAAATTACACAGGCCGACAAAATGTTTAAACTTTGCTGTGACTTTAAAATTTTGAATGCGCCCACCTTCTCTTGTGGTTTAGTTAGATTAAATTTTCCAAAACGACCGTATAAAAGGGACATGTACCTATTTAATTCCGAAAAGATTACTAAAATTGGTTGACGACTCTTAAAGATATATCCCAAAAGACGAACATTTGTGATTTTCCAAATTAAAGATACCGCAAATAGAAAAGCCTCATTTATCAAAATAAAATGGTGGCAGGCCTGGACATCGACACATGGCAAATTTTCTCGGCCTGTGTTATCTATTATAAACCGTTTACATCATTCGATTATCTTTATTGGTTCAAAAGTTATGATTTATTACCAAAAATAGGTCAAAAGGCGCCACGGTGCGTCGATCACATCGAAAACTTTATGATGGTATTTCTTTACTTTTTATTTTTGACCTTGCAAACAGGGCACGATTAAAAAAAAATTTTCAACTTAGCGAAATGAATAAAAATAATCAATAATAAAATGATTTATTACACCCTTGCAGAGGGTATTATAATTTCCGACCACATAAAGTATATATATTCCTGATCAGCATCAATAGCCGAGTCCATCTAGCAACGTCCGTCTGTCCGTTTCTATGCGAAGTTTTAAAGGTATCGCGATGAAACTTTCCCAAAAGTCTTCTATTGCAGGTAGTACATATGTCGGAACGAGCCGGATCGGACCACTATATCTTATGGCTCCCATAGGAATAATCAAAAAAATAATAGAAAAATCATTGTAACTTTGTAGAAAGTAGGCGTTTTGATTTTTGACAATGTAAAAACAGCATTTTAAGAAGGCTTACAAGCAAGGGTATATACATTTTGGCTGGCCGAAGTTAACTTCCTTTCTTGTTTTTTAATTCACTTGCTCTATTACAAACCTGGCCAAACTCTAGACGCTGAAGACTGTTAAGTGGAATATAGCTCATATCCTCGGTTAGCTGAACCACCAAATACACATCTGCCTCCCAGACACATTGCCAGAATATGCGCATGTTTAGCGCCTCATGCGGGGATTGAGCTACAATGTAAAAGCGTTGCTTTGTGCCAACAGTAGCCTGAAAAATATTAATTCAAAATTACTTTTTTGAGTGTGCATAACTTTTAAACGCACAGATATATAGGAGGCATTAACATAACCATGGCGATTGTCCATTGATGGCGTTAATCGCACTCTATTGTCGTCATACGGTAAAAAGTTAGGGTCGTGGTTCTTTGGCTCGTTCTCCTCCAGTAGGGCGCATTCGTATAAAGCATGATCTCGTCGCTTCGGTATGCGTTCAAACTCCATGAATAAATGCGAGTCACGTAGCTTTTCATCTAGTATTTGACACTGAAATTTTAGATAATATTAATCTAATCGAGTATTACTATAAAATAATAGATGTCGTTTGCGTCATGTTCCCCCAGCCCAAACCATAAGACCTAAAAATATGGAAAAAACAAGAGAGAACGCTATAGTCGAGTTGGTGTCCCGACTATCTAATAAACGTCACTCAGCTAAAGGAAGTGCGAGGGAGATGGATATATACCATTTTTTGATTGCGCATAACTATTTAATGAATGGTCCGAAACAAGAGAGAACGCTATAGTCGGGTGCCCCGACTATCAGATACCCGTTACTCAGATAAAGGGAATGCGAAGGAGATGGAGATAAAAACTTTGATCCACCGTAACTTTTTAACGAATGCACTATGGTCCAAAAGTAGATTTTTTTGGCATAAATTCTAAAAATTGAGTTAAAGACTTCAAACTTTTCACATTTAGTTTTTTTAAAACGAATAGCATGCAAACAAATTTTGAAGTCTGTGCGACTACGCCCTCTTTTGCCTCCCATGCAAGCAAATTTGTAGTTCTATAAGCAGCCTTTGAATTAAAACTATTTTTTTTTTTTTTTTGTATAAAAATTTTTTTTATTAAATTACAAATTAAAAGAAACTATTTTAAATTTGTAAATAGTTAGGGTTTTAAATTTTATTATTTGCAATTCCAAAAAGTTATTTTCGATTATTTTTATTGTAAAAATCATCACCAAAAATTTGTTTACTTTTCGTATTTTTAAAAACGAAAAAACGAAGTTTTAACTTTGTCATAACATTGTGATGTTTCGGTAGAACTTAGGACCATAATTCTTTCACTCCCTAATGCCCACCCATCGTGATCAAATAAAAAATCGATATTCAGTATCATATAAGCTCAAAGCATTTCAAAATTAAAAACGCGGTGTTTTTGAATTTAAAAATTTTTCTTAAATGTTTTAACGCATTTAATAAATCTGACAAATCTGAGGGTAAAATAGTTTGTCTCTAAACCTAAGGACAATTTTTGTGGCTATTGTTAGTTTAGTGGCGGTTTTATCGACTAAACAAAACAACAACAACAATTCGTAATTTTATGTATGTCTCGTTGTAAAGGGTTTAGTTTTTAGGGTTTAGGGTTTAATGTAACAGTTTCGAGAACAACAGCTGCCAATCGAGATAAAACATTTTAAACGATATTATACACATTTTAAAAAATGATGTCTACAAAAATGTACAATACGATATTATGATAATACAATACTTATAGACAAATTCTTTAGACTCCATCCTAGATTAGCCTCGTGCGCTTCAAATAGGTAATTAACAGATTGTAAATAAATTTGTATTGTGCGAGAGATGGTATAATGCTGTCCCGTTGATGCCTTAGCTGGCCAATCACACGAGGTATATCTAGATCCTGTAAAGTTCAGTTAAATAACGTTTAAATAATGTTAAGTTAAATATTTTTATCCGCGCACCTCGTTATGATCCAGAGTGTATAGCAAAAGATCTGCAGTCAGGGTCACTCCAGAACGACCACCTCCCTCCAGGCAATGTAATAGAACCGGTGGGTTTGTGTTGTGCCCCGGCGGAACTTCTTGCGTGGATGCCAGTCTTACAGAGTTCAGCTCTTCGAGAAAATCGAGAAAGTGGTTAACGTCACGCGGACAGTTTTGCTCCGCCCAGTCCGCATACTGCAAATACCAGACGGAACGGTACCGACGCGACGGTATGTGGTAAAGACGCAACTTGATAGTGGTGCAACGATCAGTGGTTTGTGAGAATTCCTGATATACTTGAAACTGGAAATAAGAAATAAGAGAATTAAAAAATGTTCTCAAATCATTAGGAAATTAATAATTCTCAAATACTTTGAACTGTTTCAAGTTTTGAAGTGTGAACTCGCCCATCGTCGAAAATTGTATTACAACCAGGGGTGTCACAGAAAACCATTCCAACCGAATTTCCCCCGAATAGCAAATCACGGTGTCATAGACGTCATTTTTGACGGTTTCTAAATCCCCCGTAAACAATAAACAATTTTTAATATTTTTAAAAGTTCCTAGTTCCAGACATGCTCATACTTTTGAGGAACATGTATAATAAATTTAAAGACGATTGCTCAATTTTTGCGACTTGTACGACTTCCGCCAACTCGGAAAACATGGTTTCGAGAAAAACGCGTTTGAAAATTTGCCCACGCTGACACTGGTCCACCAAACGGCCGATAACTTTCGTAGATTTCGGCTTGAAATTTTAGGAGAGAAAAATTGAAACATGTATCTTTCCGTAACTGAAAAAAAAAAAAAAAATGATTTTTTTGACCTCACAAGGTGCAAGCCTGCCTTAAGTTTTTTGACTATGTTTTCTAGAATTTATTTCTCCCTTAAAAAAAAACCTAAATTTATTCCTAGTATGGGGTTTAAAAGATAATGAGTGTTTTTTTTTAAAAACTTAACTAAACTTGCCTGTGATACATCCGTAAAATTGGCCAATGCTAAAGGTCAATTTATTTACTATCTTTGAGCTTTCGTTGGAATTTAAAAAAATATACACGTTATAATAAATTATTTATTCTTTTCTAAAACGTTTTTGGAAAATTGTTCTTGATTTTTGGAAAGTTCCAGCATCCAATCCAATCGATAACAGTGTTGTTAGTTTTTTAAAAACACCAATTTTATTTTATTTTTTTTAAATGTTTGGACTGAAAATTATTTTGATTTTAACGAAAAAAAATTATTTTCAGAAATTGATTACAAAAATATTTTTGTTTTATTGCGTGTAAAAAAAACAAAACAAAAAAACGATTTAAAATTGTTTTTGTTGGAATAAAATGGATTTGTTCATAAGTTTTGACTTTGCCGGTTTGTAAGTACGCCTCTGCCACGACCACTCTCTGCCTCAAATACTCAAATTAAAGGTAGGTTAAAGAAAATTACACAGGCCGACAAAATGTTTAAACTTTGCTGTGACTTTAAAATTTTGAATGCGCCCACCTTCTCTTGTGGTTTAGTTAGATTAAATTTTCCAAAACGACCGTATAAAAGGGACATGTACCTATTTAATTCCGAAAAGATTACTAAAATTGGTTGACGACTCTTAAAGATATATCCCAAAAGACGAACATTTGTGATTTTCCAAATTAAAGATACCGCAAATAGAAAAGCCTCATTTATCAAAATAAAATGGTGGCAGGCCTGGACATCGACACATGGCAAATTTTCTCGGCCTGTGTTATCTATTATAAACCGTTTACATCATTCGATTATCTTTATTGGTTCAAAAGTTATGATTTATTACCAAAAATAGGTCAAAAGGCGCCACGGTGCGTCGATCACATCGAAAACTTTATGATGGTATTTCTTTACTTTTTATTTTTGACCTTGCAAACAGGGCACGATTAAAAAAAAATTTTCAACTTAGCGAAATGAATAAAAATAATCAATAATAAAATGATTTATTACACCCTTGCAGAGGGTATTATAATTTCCGACCACATAAAGTATATATATTCCTGATCAGCATCAATAGCCGAGTCCATCTAGCAACGTCCGTCTGTCCGTTTCTATGCGAAGTTTTAAAGGTATCGCGATGAAACTTTCCCAAAAGTCTTCTATTGCAGGTAGTACATATGTCGGAACGAGCCGGATCGGACCACTATATCTTATGGCTCCCATAGGAATAATCAAAAAAATAATAGAAAAATCATTGTAACTTTGTAGAAAGTAGGCGTTTTGATTTTTGACAATGTAAAAACAGCATTTTAAGAAGGCTTACAAGCAAGGGTATATACATTTTGGCTGGCCGAAGTTAACTTCCTTTCTTGTTTTTTAATTCACTTGCTCTATTACAAACCTGGCCAAACTCTAGACGCTGAAGACTGTTAAGTGGAATATAGCTCATATCCTCGGTTAGCTGAACCACCAAATACACATCTGCCTCCCAGACACATTGCCAGAATATGCGCATGTTTAGCGCCTCATGCGGGGATTGAGCTACAATGTAAAAGCGTTGCTTTGTGCCAACAGTAGCCTGAAAAATATTAATTCAAAATTACTTTTTTGAGTGTGCATAACTTTTAAACGCACAGATATATAGGAGGCATTAACATAACCATGGCGATTGTCCATTGATGGCGTTAATCGCACTCTATTGTCGTCATACGGTAAAAAGTTAGGGTCGTGGTTCTTTGGCTCGTTCTCCTCCAGTAGGGCGCATTCGTATAAAGCATGATCTCGTCGCTTCGGTATGCGTTCAAACTCCATGAATAAATGCGAGTCACGTAGCTTTTCATCTAGTATTTGACACTGAAATTTTAGATAATATTAATCTAATCGAGTATTACTATAAAATAATAGATGTCGTTTGCGTCATGTTCCCCCAGCCCAAACCATAAGACCTAAAAATATGGAAAAAACAAGAGAGAACGCTATAGTCGAGTTGGTGTCCCGACTATCTAATAAACGTCACTCAGCTAAAGGAAGTGCGAGGGAGATGGATATATACCATTTTTTGATTGCGCATAACTATTTAATGAATGGTCCGAAACAAGAGAGAACGCTATAGTCGGGTGCCCCGACTATCAGATACCCGTTACTCAGATAAAGGGAATGCGAAGGAGATGGAGATAAAAACTTTGATCCACCGTAACTTTTTAACGAATGCACTATGGTCCAAAAGTCGATTTTTTGGCATAAATTCTAAAAATTGAGTTACAAACTTCAAACTTTTCACAATTTTTTTTTAACGAATAGCATGCAAACAAATTTTGAAGTCTGTGCGACTACGCCCTCTTTTGCCTCCCATGCAAGCAAATTTGTAGTTCTATAAGCAGCCTTTGAATTAAAACTATTTAGTTACATTTATTTTGGGAAGGACTTAAATATCTTATATATACGAAATATACATTAAATAAAATATTGTTATTTGATTTAAGTATCATCTTCTTCTTCGTCTAGTACTACAGAGCATCCCTCGTTAAGGTCCTCATCCGAATCAGATTCAGATTGCACGTCCAACTCTTTTTCAAATGTGTTGTTGTTTTCGGAAGACGGCAACTCCAGAAGATTTAATACTTTGTGAGGAGTTAAATAACTCCGCACAAATAAACACAAGAAATACATGGAGAACTACATGGAGACCGGCCGCACTTTGGACTGTAGTGTAGTGCCGTGTGCAGAGGGCGAAAGGTCGAACGGTAAACCGTGCACTTTGGACCCTGAAGTGGAGAGTTGGAGAGAGAGTGGGGAGAGTATCAACCCAGAGAGAGAGAGAGCAAAGAGAGGCGTCAGAGCGAGACGGCACTAGCCTGAGGGAGAGACGAGAGAGCGCAGGCGTGCCGTGAACAAGGAATTAACGGTACAGCGCCGCACTTTGGACCCTAGAGTGGTGCTGTGCGCAGAGGGCGAAAGGTCGAACGGTAAAACCGTGCACTTTGGACCCTGAATTGGAGAGATGAAAAGGAGTGGCCGAGGATTAACGGGACCCGGAGGCCTATATAAGCGGGCCCTGCGATGGAGTCGGGACCAGTCATCGAGCATCAAATCGCGAGTGAACAACGTCTAGTAAAGTCAAAGTCAAGGAGAAATAGCCGTGAAAACCCAGCAAGGAGCAAGATCGCTACGTCAAGACGTTCGGGACCAAGCAAGTCTCCGAATTGCGACACAGGTAGCTGAGGTCCTTCAAGGCAACGCACGGCTAAGTCTGCAGAACATCAAGGTTGGCCGTAGTACCGACCATCACGACCATATCGGCTGTGATACCGATTAGTCCGGCTAAGTTGGCTGTAATACCGACTGGTCCGACTACATTGGCTGTGATACCGATTGGTCTGACTATATTGGCTGTGGTACCGATTAGTCCGGCTAAGTTGGCTGTAATACCGGTCAGTTGGCTGCATTGGCTGTAAATACCGATCAGGCTAGCTGTGCCGGCTGTGATACCGACTAGTCCGACTACATTTGCTGTAATACCGATTAGTCCCGCTGCGTCGGCCGTAGTACCGATCAGTTGAGCAGAACGTGGGCAGACTTAGCAGGGCATCCCGACCAGCAGAGTGTGGGCACGAGCAGCGGACGTCAAGGGAGCAACGCAGGACAACGCAGCAACGAGTCGCCCAGGACATCGACGAGGACCAGCATCCAGGGACCGTGCCGAGGACCAGGCATCAGGTACGATCGCACCAGCCAGGAGGGAAGGTTAGGGTGGAACGTTCATCTTTCTCTGGGCGTTTGCTACAGGGACTGCTGGCGTAAGCCGGCCGTAGTACCGGAGCGTCAAAGGAAACTGAGTAGGCGTCTGGCGGGACCGGCCGGGACAGAGCAAGGGACAGGAGACTGCGGCTGGCAGGACGAAGGTCTTGCGAGCGTGGTGCCTGTTCACCCTAGTCTGAGAACGGTGACGCTTCCCTAAGCCCAACGACCCAACTCCACGCCCTCGTCGACGAGTGGCAGCGAGAGTACCTGGATCATCCCGGAGCATCCCACCGAGCGGAGTCGCAGGAGCATCGTCAGCACGAGGCACAACAATTATTGTAACCCTGAGCCGTAAATAAACGCCTCTTTGAACCGAGTTCTGAAATGTTTTACTGTTAACCGGGCGGTCCCGTTTATATAAATTTGGTGGGACGAACACACAAATCTACTGAGCTAGCCGCACGATCTTCGTAGCGAGCAAACCACAAAAATCAGTTCGTTACAACTTCTTTGGGAAGAGTTTTTTTTTTATGTTTTTTCGTTCTCTTTCCTTTAAGCAGACACTTGATAGTAGTGGATCCGAGGAATCTATCGCCCTGTGAGAAAGATCAGTCATAGTATTGATTCGACTATTTTTTCTTGCGTGTGAGAGTCTGACTTTTTTGTACATTTTATTTCGTGCCTCTGAAGCATTTTCGCCTAAGCATTCTAGTGGTACCAATGTCGAATTATTTATTTGAAAACCGTGGACCAATACTTTGTGAACCATAGGTGACATTGGGTACCACGGGTATGTCTTCATATATAAGCAATATGTTTGCTCGCATAAAGTCCGAAATTTGGTAGAGTTTATGTAATGGTTACAGGAAATTGCTATTAATATTATGTGAAAATGATTTAAAAGGGTTTCGTAAAAGCTGGCTATGGATGACAGTTGTTTGCTTTTCGCGGAAGCTCTTCTGGCCGTATTACCATCATTGCTGTTGCCACTGCCATTCTGTTTTGGAATGCTTATTCGAAGACCCATATCGTTCCAAATCTTTTCCTGAATATTCTTTTTGCGCGCACTCATTTTATCCTTGTCATCACGTTTTACATGCCATTTTTGTATTTCAATTGTGTATGATATATTTAGGACAAATTCTAAAAAGCGGATCCAAGCATGTAAAGGACTCACCCCAAATTTTAAAGGTTCAAGCTTGGGGGTAAAGGTTTTTGAACTAAAATCTTTGGTTTCCAGAATTTTTGTTGGGGTGACACCACAGATTGGACTGCATTGAGTTGATTTGGTACCAGCAAAGAGTATACATACATAGAGAGGACATCCCATATAAAAAAGTCTGTCGTATGGCGGGTTCTAGCGGTGGAACCCGCAGTTTAACGGTAGAACCCGGACTGCTCGATTCTACTTGGAATCTAGTCGGCCGCGGCACTGTTTGCCATTTGGCCTAGTGGATAAGACATCTGACTACCAATCTAAGCGGTACGGGGATCGAATCCCGCTGTAGAATTTCGATTTCTTGCGAGGGCAAACTTTTTTTTTTTTTTTTGGTGCCGTTTTCTCGTCCGCCTGTTAAATTTAAAGTAGGGTTCAAACTCCGATTTCCCATTCGATTTCAAGGTTTTAACCTACTTTAAATTTAACAAACGGACGAGAAAACGGCCCTAAAGCTAGGAACACACGATGTAAATAATTTGCAGCAAGTTGATTGCTGCAAACTAATTTGCTGCAAATTTGTTACATCGTGTATATCTAGCTTAAGAGTATTTATTATTTTTTTTTGTGTTTTTGTATTTCTTTTAGGAGCATTTTTAATCTTGTTTTGTTTTTTTTTCTATTTTGTAATTACTATTGATCATCAAAGGGTAACACTATTAGTAAATACCCTGCAGGAAAAATGCGAACTAGTCTGAAAAACAACTAATATAAAGCAACCGGAATTTGTCTGAATGCATTTGGACTACACAGGGTCTAGAAAATTTGTGCTAGTCGAAAAAATTATTAATACAAAACTAGTAAAAAAGAAACTTGTCTTGGACTAGTACCATTCTGACAAAAAAAACCTTACAAATATTTAACTGGTAGAACAAATACATGTTATGGTCTAGTTAAAATACAACTGGAATTTAACTAGTTGCAAATGAAACACATATGATATAAAAATATAGCCTAGAGTGTAAATGTCTTGGGAAATTTAACGCTAAACAAATCAAACACTCGAGGTCCTCGGTTCAATCCCCAGTCTCTGTAAATTTTTGTTTGTTTTTTGTTTACTAGGTGATGTTTTAGTTTTATTTTAAACTTTGTTTAATCTGTCCGAGGCAATATATACGTGAAAATCACTGTTTTTGAATTATGTCACACTAAAATTCATAAACCTTGTTAGGGCATTACAAAATGTGATGCGTGTATGGCTCAATCAGTTAGTGTGTCTACAAATCCAAAGGTCCCGGGTTCAAGTCCTAGAGAGGGCGACTTGCCTCAAAAAAAGTAAGTTTGTTTTAATTCCATTTAATTATCATTTACTGTATTTGATTACATAATAATGATCAGAAATTCTCTAAGGACCGCGCCTATTAATTGGATGCTAAATTAGGATAGCGTCAAGTTAGGCAAGTACTAGTGAAATCCAATCACTTGATGGTTTAGAGATTAATTTTTAGTTTTTTCGTGAAAATATTTTTTTTAGTGTAGCTTAACAGCTGTAACCATAAATTGCTTAACAGTCACTAGTGCAAAACTAGTAGCAAATGGACTAGTTGTTTCCGACGACAAGCATATGAAAAATGGACCACTTCGTTACAAGGAAATGGACATAACTTGAACTAGTTAACCTTCTTGACCCAACTAGTATTTTAATAGTCCAAAACTGATTCCGTTTCCTGCAGGGTAGATAGATCTTAAAAAAATATTAAATATATTACATATATTTTAGAAATTAAGCTTTGTAATACTCATGAATTATTTTGTGGCTTTAAAGCTTAAATAACTAAAACAATAAGATAAAATAAATATATTTCGAGACAAAAAAAAAAACAATATTATAAAACGTCTGCCCTTTGCGGGGATCGAACACGCATCAACATCGCTGATCAACGCTTTAGCCAGCACG